GGAGAAAAACCAAAAAAAAAATAAAATAAAATAAATAAATAAATAAATAAATAAAATGCATAGTCAGGACCTGCTCTGAATCCATCTTAGGAAACAAAGGAAAAGAAATAGGGGGAGAGGGAGGATGAGCTCCACACTGAGATCATTTTGGAAATCCTATAATCATAGGGGGAACATTCACCTGAGGTGAACTGCACGGGACCCTTGCTCCTCTCCCCTCTTCCCTGCAGGCACCTGTTACAATGGCATCCACGACCACCTCTTGTGATACCAGGAAGCGAAGTGTGCCCAAGATTAGGCTCTGAGACGCTTGTGTGTGTATGTGTGCATGTGTGTGTGTGTGTGTGTATGTTGGGGTGTGTATAAAGTCAGCTCTGAGCGCTGGAGGGACACAGTAAATTCCAGAAGAAGACATATAAGTCTACTGAGCATATTTTAGGTCAGGCAAATCTCATCCATAACAAAAAATGGAGTGGAGGGAAGGGGTCAGACCAAAACCTCCTTACTATCTCAGTTCATTTTAAAAATATTAATCATTCTGGTCTCAATTCAGAAATTAAACATATTAATTCTGGGTCATAACTAACAAAAATATTTTGTTCAAGAAACATGGGCTAGTGGCAGTGCTCCCCACTTGGGGTGATTCTGCCCATAGGGGAAATGAAACACCGAATGGAGACCTCTGATGGCAGCACTGTGTGTGCAGAAGGTGAGTCTGGTGCGTGGAGGCCATGGGTGCTGACATCCCGCAATGTACGTTGCAGCCTGTGGGACAATTAGCTGGCCTCAGATGTCAATAATGCCCAGCTTAGAAACCTTCCTAGCTCAGTAGAATCAGCTACCTCTGCCCATTGACACCCTGAAACGTTCTTCTGAACTGTCACTTGGCATAAGAAAGGTTGGACTGATACTCTCCTAAAAAAGAAACAAGAACTGCTATATATAACACTTGTATAACTTATAGTTTCTAAAGCTCTAATATAAGTAAAGCAGATGCACAATAAACATATTGTTTATTTTTTAGCACTGAGGATCAATCCCAGGGCCACAGGCATTCCAGACAAGTGCTCTAATGCTGAGCTACACTCTTTGGCCTTAAATTAGCCTTAAACTGCACATTCTCTAAATGTACAATCTGATGAGTGTTAAACCATGTGAAACCACCACCAAACCAACAGGACACATATTTGCGTCACTCCAGAAGTTTCCAAAGCCACCTAATTTTACATGGTCCTCAAATTCTGCCTAGAATTACACATTTGTAATCATTTTATGAGGAAGCTGTTACTGGGAAATATGACAAGGGCTGGTAATCATGAGAGAAAGAGGGAAATGCTGCTAGGGTTTTAAGTGGCCTGCTTTCCCGGCTTCAGATTCTACAGTTGCTGTTGTGTGGTAGCCTCACTAGAAAGGATCTGAAAAGTGGAATCAAGGGCTGGTAAGAAAGTGTCCAAACCAACTACAGATCTTAACTCCAGCACTTCCTTGCATCAGAGAGGCAAAAGGAAACTGTCCTTTCAACATTGCTAGGGCAGAGGACCCAGAGGATGTCAGCTCTAGAGAGACCTAAATTCCATCGCACACGGTTACCAGCAAACACTGTCACTGCACCTGAGCAGTCAAGCTCGCAGGGAAGCGCACGCGCACACGGGATTGGCTGGCAGAGCAGAGAGCAATGACTCAGGATGAGGAAGACGAGGCACTTGCCTACTCACGCAGGGCACTGTGACTCTGCTGCAGCTGAGTGCGGGCAGAGGGGCACTCTGACAGGCGCTGTCTCTAGGCTCCTGGGTGGCTGCCTCAGGTACCTCAGGAGCAGCATGAATATGCAGGCTACTGTTTCCAACAAACTCCAGATGAATGCTGCCACACTGGGAGGCAATTTAAATCGGGAAGCAGATGTTGCATCAACCTTTGTCAGAGTTGGTTCACAAAGTAAGGACCCTTTAAAGGGTCAATAAAGCCTGAAAGGTATAATGAGAACTTAAAAATATAAATAAAAGGGGGAAGTACTGGAAACACCTTCCCTGCCTGAGCACGGCCATTAAAAGAGAACTACAAATCAGCTGCAGTAAAGCTTTCTTCCTTAAAGAAATTCATTAGTAGGCCTTGATGAAACCCCAGATAGAAAGATGTGATCTGGCCACTTTTAAACATTACAGAAGGGTTTTCTCTTTGTGAAACAATCTCTGCCTAGCATGAGTATAAAGAAGCTTGGTTTCCTTTCCAGAGACTGCCGCCCTGGGGCAGAGCAGGGATCTGACCGGGAAGAGTTCTCTGGAGTGGCCTCAAAGTGCTCCCAGGTCTCTAAGATGAGGCATGACCTTTGTGGCTGTATCCAAAGCCGCACACTTGGAGAGGGCTGAGCAAATTCTGGTGAATAAGAAAACCAAGGGACGGGGCTAAGGCTGGGGCAGAAGAGACGGGGCTCCCTCGGTTACAACAGTGACTCATGCTTCTTTCCAGTCCCCGTCATTCCTGGCACACTGCAGAGCTTAAGAAAAGTACTAAGAAAACCTGATGATTAATTGTTTTAAGTTGAAATAAACGCGTGGAAAAACAGCACACATCCTAAATGCACAGTCTAAGCAATTTTCACATAATGAATGTACCAATGTGATCATCAACGAGGGATGATAAACATCTGCCCTGCATCCATAACCTTTCCCCTCAAGGTTACCTGCCTGGACTTCTAGCAGCTCCTCAGAAGCTTCATCCTGATGCAGACCCTGCTTTGTGTCTGGTTTCCACTATGTAACACCATGTGGGTGAGATGCTTCCGCACTGTGTGTAGCTGGGCCTCACTCAGTGACCCTGCTGTGTGGTATTCCATGCATGCACATACCACCTGATCACTTGATGGAGGGACATGTACGTGACGGTGACTGGTGTGACCCTGCTGTCTGAGCTCTGCTTCAGGAATGACTCTCGCCATGGATGTCTGGCAAGACAAATTTGTCACTAGCCTTCTAATAATGAAGTTTTTTCTGCCTTTGGATTTGAGGCTCAGTGTAAGATCAGCCTAAGTATTAGCTCTTGGCTAGTACCCATATTTAAAATATACATATAAAATACTTAGCACAAGTATTTAATCAGTCATTTTTGTTGCGTGCATTCATGATGCTCCCCACAGCATCTTCAGCTGAAAGGAGAACTCAAAAGCTGTCGAGGCGGCTTTTCTGGTGAAGACAAACACCAGCTCCTCCCCACCACCCCTGAGGGTGAGAAGTCCAGGAACCAAGCCACATCCCCAGGGTGGCACATTTCATAGACGGAAACTGCAAAAATTGAAGGACATCAGGAGTTTAAGTGACTTATCAGGGTCAGAAGGGTGAGCAAGAAAAGGATTTGTAAAATCCAATACCCAATACCTGTGTCTGACTTTCACAGAAAATCTTCTCCATTATAAAAAGAAACAGAACAGGCATATTTAAATCTGTGGGGCCTTCAGGGACCACAGAAATTCTACAAGTTCTGTCCCCCCAACAGCCAGGTGGCCGGGTGTGACACCTGCGTCTCTCTCTGCCTCATAAGACACAGGTTCAGTATACTCAGTGACTGACTGCACCCCTGGTGCTGGGAGAGGACGGTGAAGTTAGACCAAATCTTTTTTTTTTTTTTTATTTTAAGGAGAGTAGTACATGAGAAACAAACAAACAAAAAAATAGAACAGTAGCAGCATACCAGTATCACGAACATAAACAAATCAAAGCAAAAACATTCAAAGTGAAACAGGGTCTCAAGACAAATTAATACAAATCAACAGTGGTTGTTACGTTGCATACCGCTATCCTCAACTACATTGCTCAGATTATCAGATCTAAGAATGAAAGATTGCTCAAACCATTAGAGAGATTAAGAAAATAATTCTTCAATAAAACATTAGAGATATCAGAGAGTTTCACTACATAAGATGGCAGGAGTTCACCGTTGTAATTCCAGTGCATATTGTTACCTTCAAATCAGTTGCTCAGACCACCAGACACAAGCATGCAAAGGCAATCAGAACATAAAAAATTGTGAGCATTAACTGTTCATTTCAATACACCATCAGACAACAGCAATACAGTCATTGCAGCTATTCACATATATGTTTATGTTTTGCCTTCCTTCTTTCTTTTTCCTTCTTTCCTGGGGCTGGGGATGTGGCTCAGTGGTAGAGCTCTTGCCTTGTATACAGACCAAATCTTTTCAGCAAGACTTCAACCCAGGAAATGGCAGACGGTATCATCAGCGGAGTCTAGGGCACCTTCAAGGGCAAGTGAACCAGGTGAGGGAAGATGACCAGAGAAAGGAAGCAGCGACAGGAAAAGGGGTGTCTGTGGGGCAGAAAGGAAGGACTGGGATGGGGAAAAGAGAAAAGGTGGGGGCATGATCGGG